CAAATCCTGAAAGAGGTTACTGATATGTAAGTTGACCCAGAATGAAATCGGTTCTGGCATTTTCGGCACTACGTAGAAGATCGAACGAAACGCAACATTAGCATCCATGACATCAATGGTGACAAACATCTGTATGCAAAGATGAAAGGTTACCTCAAAACCAAAGCAATATTCTTTGGGTTCTCCTGGAAACTGCAAATGTCCCGATATAAACGTGCGAATGAAAGCCCTGAAAAAGCAGCATGTTCCAGCACAATTCACCGCTCTACTGATCAACCGGATTCTGTAGCAAATTTCTGTGAACAGTACCTACCAAAAAACGAAATAGCACTTTTTTTTTCAATAAAGCTGCTCGAGTTTTATTTTAAAAGCGTTTATTCAAGGAAGGGCAACACAGGGAATTTCTACCAACCTGAGTTCAACTTCCATCCAAAGTGTTTACATAGGCAGCAGTTTCAGCCGACGAACTTTATTTCTACAGGCGCTTTCTTCGCCCGGAGGAGAAAAGTGACTGCCTACAGCAACTGCTAATTTCCAGGGGATGTCGCGCATTTCTAATCGTGCGTATAAACGAATTCCTGCTCCAACCCCTCTTCGCAACCGGATGTGCAATACAATGCAAATGCTTTCTCTCCCCCTCCTCCCCTTCCCCCTCGTTTTTCTGTCTTTTTCAACAAAAAAGGCTTCGCTCTGATCCGTCAGAAAAACTCGCTGTACATCCCAGTCAAAACTCATCCCAAACAACAATGCATTTTTACACCTACTGGCCATCCTGGAAATACTAGATAAGTACCGCCATTCATTTTGAAATACTAGATAAATTGCACTCCAAAATTCTAGTACCGTTATTCTGTAAAGCCTAGCAGGCTTTAGAAAGACTGTTAAATTGAATTTCATACAGTGCACAGAAATTTAAACCGTTTTTACGAGAAGCCTCAAGGCACTTTGGAGGTCACATAAGCCAGATCAATCTTAGTGAATCAAACTTAAGAGATGCAAGGAAAAAAATTTATAAAAAAGACAAAATAGACCCAGACAACTAAAAATAAGGGAGCGCGCAAAAACAGTGTGGATGCTTCGCAA